GGCGCGGTCCCCGCGCGGTTCTGGAACCCCGCGCGGCTTCGGAAGCTCACAGACACCCCAAAATCATGCCATGAGCCTTTCAAAATACCCCCAGCCGTCCAAGACTCTCCCACATGATGCCAAAAACAAACCCTCGACGAGAGGAATCTTCCGAGCCGTCCACGGATGCCCGACAGAAACCAAAGAAAATGGCCCGAAACCTAAGGAAATCACATGTTTTTGGCTTTCTCGCCTTTTCGCTTCCCAAGGGCTGCGAGGGCTGCGAAAGGCGGCGAGGCGAGGCTCCGCCGCCGCCCACCGACGGGCAGCCAGGGCGCTCGGGAAGCCCAGACCTCCGGCGTCTTGAGAAGATCGGTTCACCTCCTCCTCCTCTCCTCTCTCCCCTCCGCTCTTCTATCTGCCTCCTCCTCCTCCTCCTCGTCCCTGCCCCCCCTCCTCCCTCCTCATCCCTCCTCCACACTTCCTCCTCCTCCCCTCCTCATCCTCTGCTCACTATACGGACTCCGAACACCATGGCCGGGATCGTGCTTTCTGGGCGCCGCAGGAGCCCTCTCTTCGGCCATCCTCCTGCTCTCCTCTCCTCCTCCTCCCCTCCTCCTATCCCCTCTCCTCCTCCTCCTCTCCCCTCCTCCTCCTCCTCCTCCTCCTCCTCTCCTCTCCTCTCCTCCTCCTCCTTCCTCCTCCCCGCTCCTCCTCATCCCTCCTCCTCCTCCTCCTCCTCCCTCCTCCCATCCTCCTCTCCTCCTCCTCCTCCTACTCCTCCCCTCCTCCTCCTCCCCGCCTCCTGCTGTAATTCCTCCTCCTCCGCCACCCCCCTTTCCTACTCCTCCTCCCCTCCTCCTCCCTCCCCCTCCTTTCTCTCCTCCTCCTCCACCTCTCCTCCTCCTCCTCCTCTCCTCCCCTCCTCCTCCTCTCCTCCTCCCCTCCTCCCCCTCCCTCCTCCCCCCCTCCTCCTCCCCTCTTCCCGCTCCCCTCCCCATCCCCTCCTCCCTCCTCCTTTTCCTCCTCCTCGTCTCATCCTTCCTCCTCTCTCCGACCTCCTCATCTCCTCCTCCTCCTCGTCCTTTCCTCCTCTTCCTCTCATACCTTTCCTCCTTCTGCTCTCCTCCTCCTCCTCTTCCGCCTCACGCCTCCTCTCCTCCTCCTCCTCCTCTCCTCATCTCCTCTCTCCTCCTCCTCCTCCTCCTCCTCCTCCTCCTCCTCTCCTCCTCCCTCCTCCTCTCCTCCTCTCCTCCTCCTCCTCCTCCTCCTCCTCCTCCTCCTCCTCCTCCTCCTCCTCCTCCTCCTCCTCATCCCTCCTCCTCGCCTCCCCCCCATCATCTTCCACGGTTTCCGTTTCCGCCCACTTCGTCGCCGACGTCGTGGTCCTCTTCATGGTCGGCGGCACTGGCCGTCAGGCCTTCGCAATCCTTCCAGCCTTTTGGACTCAGGCGGTCCAGCGAATTGTTTCTCTCCTCTTCCAAAGCACCTTGTCCCAGCGGAAAGTGAGCGCTTCTTTTTTCGGCGTTTCGACATTGGGCGGAAGGGGGGGTCTGGCTCCGGACCTCTGCTTAATGCGATTGTTTGCAGCAGTGCGCCCCATGGGGGAGGGACTCCCCCTGCCTGAAGCAGGCGCCTAAAACAGCCAAGAATTACTCCAGGAGGGGGGGGGGGGGGCGAGGGCCCGCTCCGATCGGCAACGCAACGACTAAAAAACTACCACAAGTGGTTCCCTCCCCCTTCCCTCCCTGAGGTTTCTTTGGGGCGTGCCGCGATCGGTCAGGGTGCCCAAGACGGCCCCAGATGGCTCCAATAGGGCCTCCAATGCTCCAAGATGGCCTCCAAGGGTTCTCAATATAACAGAAGACTTTCCAAGATTGCTTCCGACATATCTCCTAGAGGCCCGACGAGGGCCACAAGACGGTTCCAAGTGCTCTTGTAGTCCCCACCAGGACCCCCCCAAAGACTCCGAAATCCTCAAAAAAACGTCGGAATAATTGTATGTGTGCGTGTGTGTTTGTGTTTGTGTGTGTGCGTGCGTGCGTGCGTATGTGCGTGTGTGCGTGTGTGCGTGCGTGTGCGAGCGTATGCTTGTGTGTGTGTGTGTGTCCAATCCGCCGGGGCAGTCGCCCTCGGCCCAGCCGCCGACGCCAAAAGTGCGTGTGTGCGTGAGTGTGTGCGTGTGTGTGCGTGCGTGCGTATGTGCGTGTGTGCGTGTGTGCTTGTGTGCATGTGTGCGTGTGTGCGTGTGTGCGTGTGCGTGTGTGCGTGCGTGCGTGTGTGCGTGCGTGCGTATGTGCGTGTGTGCGTGCGTGCGTATGTGCATGTGTGCGTGTTTGCGTGTGTGCGTGCGTGTGCGTATGTGCGTGTGTGCGTGTGTGCGTGTGTTCGTGTGTGCGTGTGTGCGCGTGTGCGTGTGTGTGTGCATGTGTGTGAGATGCGTGTGTGTGTGCGTGCGTGCGTGCGTGCGTGCGTGCGTGTGCGTACGTGTGGTGTGGTGTATGTATGTGTGCGTGCGTGCGTGCGTGTGTGTATGTGTGTACGTGCGCGCATGCGCGCGTGCGCGCGTACGCGCGTGCACGCGTGCGCGCGCGTGCGCGTGCGCGTGCGCGCGTGCGCGTGCGCGTGCGCGTGCGCGTGCGCGTGCGCGTGCGCGTGGGCGTGGGCGCGGGCGTGGGCGCGGGCGCGGGCGCGGGCGCGGGCGTGGGCACGGGCACGGGCACGGGCACGGGCACGGGCACGGGCGTGGGCGCGGGCGCGGGCGTGGGCGCGGGCGTGGGCGCGGGCGTGGGCGTGGGCGCGGGCGTGGGCGTAAGCGTGGGTGTAGGTGCGGGTGTGGGCGCGGGCGTGGGTGTGTTGTGTGGTGCGTGTGTTGTGTGTTGTGAGTGTTGTGTGTGTTGTGTGTGTTGTGTGTTGTGCGTGTGTTGTGTGTTGTGTGTGTGTGTTGTGTGTTGTGTGTTGTGTGCTGTGCGTGTTGTGTGTTGTGTGTGTTGTGTG